CAAGCGCAAGAACCCGAGTTCGATCCCCAGTACCAAAAAAAAAAAAAAAAAAAAAGACCAGGTAGGACTTATCCACCCTGAACTTCCCTGGTTTCTCACCAGTTATTGGTGTATTCCATTTATGCCTTTTCAGGCATTTTCTAATTCCTATAAGTATTTTTATCCAAGTTATGTTAAAATAATTTTTGAAATGTGTCAAGTATTTTATTTTATTTTTTTCCGACCTGGGGATTGAATGCAAGACCTTCACACTGAGCTCTATCCCCAGCCCTTTATTTTTTTTGAGACAGGGTCTTACTAAATTGCTAAGCTGCCCATGCTGTGCTGCAACTTGTCATCCCCCTGCCTCAGTGTCTCAGAATGCGGGGATTACAGGTGTGTTCCACCACAACCAACATCTGTCAAGCTTTTAGGTACTTCTTTATAAACTTACTTTGTAACTCTAATGAGAACAATCATATTGAAAGTTTTCACCACACAAAAAAATGGAGGTTTAAAAAAACCTGATGTTGAGAAGATAAATATGTTTAACCTGATCTAAACATTATACAATATATTCATGTTTCAAATATTACATGGTACCCATTAATGTTTTGATACAAACTTTTTGTATCAAAATTAAAAATGAAAAATTTTAAAATCATTATTCTTCTCACGCAGTTCAAGGTCATTAGTTCTAATGTTCATTACTCACAATTCCATTGTCTTCTAGACTTTGGTGCATGATTTGTTATTTTATTTTACAAAGTAGAAACTGGGGCTTAGTGTCAAGAGCATGTCTATTGCACATGTGGCCCTGGGTTAGAGCCCCAGTATGCAACAATGACCACAAAGCACAAACTGAAAGTCAGAATCTTTTAATTATCAATTTGTGTGTGTGTGTGTGTGTGTGTGTGTGTGTGTGTATGCCTGGTACTGGGAATTGAACATAGAGCCTTTGCACTGAGCTGCATCCCAAATCTTTTTATTTTTTATTTTGAAACTGGGTTGCACTAAGTTGCTAAATTGTCCAGGGTACGCTTGAACTTGCGATCCTCCTGCCTCAGTCTCCCAGAGTACTGAGGTCACAGGCATGCACCACCACCCCAGCTCTTTATTTATCAATTCTTGAAAAAAATAAAAATGCTTGTGAAGCAACTATAAGTCTAAGATATGATAAAATACTAACAATAAATCAATATATTTGCCAAAATTTGGAGTATATTTTTAATTAAGTAGAAATTATGAAAGAAGAATTTTTAAATCCTACTAGCACCCCCAGAGACCCTTCCTCTGAATCAGTGGCTATGGTGTATTCAGGGTTTTCAGGGTCCTTTTAGCAGCTCTTGTCCCATCCTTTTCTGAAAGATGCTTCCCACAGGCACATTCTTCAGTGAAATTTCTGCTCTATCCATAATCTCTGAAGAAATGTGTCAGTAGAGCCTCCATTTGGAAGGAGTTCAAATTTCTCACTCTCTTGCCTTGATTAAAAGTAATTTCTCTAGTGTTTGTGCCTACTGGATGTATCTTGGTGGAACTTGCCTATGGAGTCCTATGGTTTCATTTTTTATAACAAAAGAAGTATAAGTCTGAAAGTTTAGAATAGAAATTCCAACCTGCAGACCAAATATGGCACACAGGTTTGTTTGGGTAGGTCTCATAACACCAAAACAAAAAAACAAAATAGGTTGACATGAAAATCTGTATTTCTATATGTCTTGAAGCAGCGATTCTGGCAACACAGGGCTCATATTTTCATATGGTTACAGTTAGCTGGATCCAGAAAGGGGCTTCCTCACAGGGTTGGCATGTGAGCCTTAGAAGCCACAGTCAGTTTGCCCATCCGCACCTCGGCAGTCCTTGAATTTCTAGTCCTGATCTAGGACATGAAGTGCTTTCTTGGTCTACATGATTTCTTTCAAAGCATCATAAAAAGAAAGACAGAGAAATGAAACAGAGGAAATCTTGTACAAAACTAGCTTAAAGGCATGGCTTTGCACATTTCTAGGACAATGTAATAAAGAAATGAGCAACACTTCTTTTACTGTAATACTCTTGAAGCTGCCAGCTGAAACAGTCACTTCCCAACCGGTACCCACCTTCCAGTGCCGGGGGATTCTGTGCAGTCCTAGAGACTTTAAATTACGTGGTGATGGTTTTTCTAAATTGGAAGTGTGTGTTAATTTTAGATGTCAACGTGCCTGGATTAAGGAATGCCC